ACCCACACACCCAGCTCATGGCTGCTATCTAGTGGCCATCTCAATTTTGACAACTTGAATCTAATAGTTGTGGTCCAACTTTTTGTTCTTCGGAGTTTGGTGAGATTCCGGGCAGAAGTCCATGGGTCCTACGACATTTCGCAAATGTTTGGGATTCTTCCCATTTTGTCAGCTTAGGCATAATAATGGCAGGACAGGTAGAGAAAGTGACTTGCCTAAGGTCATCTCCATGAGTTTCATTACAAGATATAGAGATAAAAGGTATGGAGCTTAAAATGGAACAGTCCAAGTTATAAGCCTTTGCAGATGATCTAGCTTTTATTGTGGAAGATCCACTAGTAATAGGGCTACTGTATTTTTTGGAGTATAAGACACACCTTTTTCCCTCATAAAAGAGGGTGAAAATCTGGGTGCATCTTATACACCGAATACAGCACTTTTGGCCTCCCAAAACCCCATCCTCTTTGCAAAAATGGATGTGCATAGCTTTTAGGGGGCTTCCAGAGTGCTTCTGGGGGATGGGGAGGGCAACAATGAGTGGAAAATGGGCTGTTTTTTGCTTGTTTTTGCACCTCACCCCCACCCGCAGGAGCACTCTATGAGTGTCCTAAAGGCTGTGCATGCCCCCCACTTTTTATTTTACAAAAAATGGGCCCATTTTCATTTTGCGAGTTCTGTAGAGTGCAAAAACATTTTTTTTTAATTTGCCTCTTCAAAATCTTTGTGCGTCATACTCCAGTGCGTCTTATACTCTGAGAAGTTCTAAATTAATGAGAAAAATAGAAGAATATGGAGAGGTGGCAAGTTTGAAAATAAATAAAGAGAAAACTAAGATTGTAATTTAAAACATTACACATATTCAAAAGATAGAGTTAAGAAAAAGAATAGACATTCAAATTATAAAGAAAGTTAAGTACCTAGGGATCCAGTTGACGGCAAGATGTGTAACGATCAAAGAAGATTATTATAAGTGGTTGAAACAAATTCGAATAGACCTGGAAAAGTGGAAGAACCTGCAATTATCACTGAGAGGAAGAGTAGCAACAATTAAAATGAACATATTGCCAAGATTATTGTACTTATTCCAAACAATTTTGATAAAATTGGGGGGGGGGGATTCTTTGAGGAACTTAATAAAATAATATACAAATATATTTGGCAAGGGAAAAAAGCAAGAATTGGCCTGAAAATGATGCAAGATATAAGAAGCAGAGGAGGTTTTCGGCTACCAAACTGGGAATTGCAGGCTGCAGTGTTACATGAATGAAAGAGTGGATTCTGAAGAAGCTTCTTGGATGAGAAGCGAAACATCTTCAAAGAAGATGGGGGGGAAAAAACCCCAGAAAGTCCTGTTGGTTCATGAAAAAGCACCTTTGGGATAATAATCCAGCATATTACATCCTCAGTAGCCAACACAGGGACCAATTCCCACAGTCATTTTGCATTCTGGGCAATTCCTGAGCCCACACCAGCCTCAGAGGAAAGG